CCTAAAGTGATATGATGCGTGGTTAGCAATAAATAAGGAGGCTCCCTGGTTCTCGAGAGGGTGGCTGAGAAAGGTGGCTAAGGAGGACGAGGAGCTGCTTCTACTCTGGCGGCTAAGTCCCCACCACGAGGACCATCAATTGGGGCTGAGGTGAGCAACGCTACCATGAATTGCGTCTGACTCCATTACTTGACTCCATCTTTTAACTCTCATGCTCTCTGTACCTTTACTATAATCTCTACTTGTTATCGCTGTACAATTGCGCCTACTGAACCTGTGATGTTTTGTGGGGTTCCCTCTTCCCTTTAACCCCATACCTGTGATCTTCCTGCTTTCGGCATCATTGTATGTGCTGTGTGAGTCTGTAGAAGAATTTATCGGACTAGTATCAGACATATGGGATAATATCAGAATTATGGGCTAATATCGAACTTAGGGACTTGATTTAGACTGGGCCAGAATGTTTTCTTCATATACAATTACTCTAGGATATAAAACTCTCTCTTACATACATAGGAGTGTCTCTGAATTCATTTCTCTAGTTAACCCAGACTGACACAAATGGTGTTTCATTCATTGTCAAAAAGGACATTTCAAGATCTGTCTTGAAGTACAATGCTGTGTGATAGAATTATGTCTATCCACATTCAAGGAAGTCTAATCAGTACGACTATTATTCATATTCATGTACCAACCTCTAAAGCTAGTGATGAAGATACTGAAGAATTCTACTATCATCTTCAGTCAAAAACTGAAGAAAAAAAATGCAATCAAGATGCATTGATAATTATTGGTGATTGGAATACAAACGTTAGAATCCCAGAAGAAGAAAAATTAGTTGGAAAATATGGTCTTGGTGATAGAAATATGGTCCTGGATATCACATGATAGAGTTTTGCAAGATCAATGACTTCTTTATCACAAATATCTGTTTTCAACTACAAAAAAAGGCAACTATCACGTGACCTTCTCCAGATAAAATACACAGAATCAAATGTACTGCATCTGTGGGAAAAGGCATTGGAAAAGCTCAATGTCAGCAGCGAAAATAAGCCAGAGGTTGACTGTGGAGCAGCTCATCAATTGCGTAGAAGTAAGTTTAGGATAAAGCTGAAGAAAATTCAAACAAGTCTATGAGAGCCAAAACACGACCTTGAGTCTATCCCAATTGAATTTCAAGAACAACTCAAGAACGGATTTGCTGCATTGAACACCAATGACAGAAGACCTGATGAGCTGTGGGAGGACATCAATATCATCATTCATGGAGAAAGCAAAAGGTCATTAAAAAGACAGGAAAGAAAGAAAAGATCAAAGTAGACGTCAGAAGAGATTCTGAAACTTGCTCTTAATTATAGAGTAGCTAAAACAAATGAAAGAAATAATGAAGTCAAAGAGCCAAATTAAAATTTCAGAGGGTAGTTCAAGAAGACAAAGCCAAAGATTCTAATGAAATGGGCAAAGACCTAGAAGGAGAACACCAAAATGGAAGAACATGCTCAGCATATCTTAAACCAAAAGAACTCGAAAAAATTCAAGCTTCAAGTTGCAATATTGAAAGATTCTATGGGCAAAATATTGAGTGATGCAGGAAGCATACAAAGAAAATTGAAAGAATATACAGAGTCGGTGTACTGAAAAGAACTAGTCAACAATCAACCATTTTAAGAGAAAGGTAGCATATAAGCAAAAACCAGTGGTACTGAAGGAAGAAGTCCAGCTGCCCTGAAAGCATTATTCAAAACCAAGACTCCAGGAATTGATGGAATAGCAACTGAAATGTCTCAACAAGCTGATGAAGGGCTGGAAGCATTTATTTGTCTATACCAGGAAACTGGGAAGACAGCTATTTGGCCAACTGACTGGAAGAGATCCATATTTGAATTCATTCCAAAGAAAGTGGACCCTAAAGAATACTCACAAGTGTTGGCAAAAATGTGGCAAAATTAGATGTTGTGTATGTTTATGTAAAACTATTTCTCTGAAACAGTTGGTGACTCCTCAGAAAGTTATATATACACTTTTAAGCTGAGGTTTTTCTATGTTTTATTTTGTTATTGTTAATTGATATCTTGTTGTTTTATTTTTTACTTTTTGTTGTAGATTTTTCTTTATGTGAAACTAAGAATAGGTGACTCTATAGAGACAATAACTAGATTAATAAATCCTTGGAGTTAGGATAAAATGGAGGGCTAATAACACGGAGAATAAGAAAATTGATTGCAGTGATTATACAACACTTTAAAATATGTTTATATTACTGTATGATGTGTGAATTACATGCCATTATGTCAGAGAAACTTAAACATTTTAACAAAGAATGCACAAATTACAGAACAATATTATAGATATGTTAGTAAATATTCTGCTGAAGACCACCCAACAACAATTATAGCAGTACATTGATTCACGTACCCATAGATTCTGGCAGGTGCAGAAGAGGACGTGGAGCAAGGGCTATCATTGCTGATGTCAGATGGATCGTGGCTGAAAGCAGAGAATACCAGAGAGATGTTTACTTGTCTTTAGCTTACTATGCAAAGGCCTTGGACTGTGTGGATCATAACAAACTATGGATTGCTTTGGGAAGAATGGGAATTCCAGAACATTTCATTGTTCTGTAGTGTTTATGAAATACTCATATAAAGCCTGTACATGGATCAAGATGCAGTTTTGCAAAAACAAGGGACTACTGGAAGGCTTAAAATCAGGAAAGGTGTGCAAAAGGTTGTATCCTCTCACCATGCTTATCCAATCTGTATGAATAATCAGAGAATTACACGATTACATGAAGAATATGGCATCAGAATTGGAACAAACTCACTACCATTGAGTCTCTGCCAAGTCATAGTAACTCTTATCGGACAGGGTAGAACTGCCCTTCTGAGTCTCTGATGCTCTTATGGGCTTATGAAGCCCTGCCTTTCTCCCATGGAGCAGCTGGTGACTAAACTGCTGGCCTTGCAATGAGCAGCCCAATGCATAACCATTACCGCTGCCAGGGTTTATTAACAACCTACGATTTGCAGATGACACACAGCCTTGCTTACTGAAAGTGAGGACCTGAAGCACTTGATGAAGATCAAGGATTGCAGCCTTCATTATTGATTGCAACTTAATATAAAAAAAGGCAAACATAGGACCAATAAATCACAATAGGACCAATAAATATCATAATAAACAGAAAAGAATGAAGTTGTCAAGGATTTCCTCTTGCTTGGATCCACATTCAAACTCATGGAATCAGCAGTCAAGAAATCAAATGATGTAGTGCATTGGGCAAATCTGCTACACAAGACCTTTTTAAAGTGTTGATGAACAAAGATGTCACTTTGAGGACACAGTGCACCTGACAAAACTGGTATTTTTAGTCATCTAAAATATATGTGGCAATTAGACAGTAAATAAGGAAGGCTGAAATAAAATCAATGCATTTGAACTATGGTCTTGGCAAAGAATATTCAAAGGTCCGTGGACTGCCAAGAGAACAAACAGATCTGCCTTGGAAGGAGTACAACCAGCCTTAGAGGCAAGGATGGAGAGACTTTGTCTCACGTACTTTGGACAGGTTATCAGGAGAGACCAGTCCCTGGAGGAGGACATCAGGTTTGGTAAAGTGGAGGGCAGCGAAAGAGAGGAAGGCCCTCAACAAGATGGATTGACACAGTGGCTGCCTCAATGGGCTCACACACAAGAGCAATTATGAGGATGATGCAGGACATGGTAGTATTTCAGGCTCTCAGTGATACAGAACTGACTCGACATCCACAAGTGATTTTGTTTGGGATGTTATATAAGAAGAGCCTTGGTGGTGCACTGGTTAAAGCCCGAGGCTATTAATCAGGAGATTTGCAGTTGGAACTTACTAGCTACTCTGCCTGGAGAAAGATGTGACAAGGTACTTCATAAAGATTACACAGCCTTGAAAACCCTGTGGAGCAGTTCTATTCCTCCCTATAGGTTCACTATGAGTGGATATTGATTTGATGGAACATATACGATATATCTTATGTACTATATTAAAAATAAATTACACCCACTACCATTGAGTCTCTTTTGTCTCATAGTGACCCTATATAGAATTTCTGAGATAAATCTTTATAGGAGCACAGAGCCTCAGGATTCTCCCAAGAACTCTGTTGGGCTTGAATAGCAGCTCAAGGTTTCACCCGCAGCACCACGGTTTCTTGTACTACATTACAGTTCAGCTAATATGGAAAGAATAGATCAATCTGCATAAAACATCTTTCCTCACTATATAAACACAGATATATTAAATCATTAAAGTAGTAGGAGTATTTTGGACTAAGCATTGCCTAGACAGAAATATAAAGAATGAAGAATACTTTATTTATTTTTGAGTCGCTAACATCTAGGAAAATGCTTATTTTGCTGAGCGTTGTATGTAATGAATGAATAAATGAAGGAAATGGACTGTACCTTAAGACCTGTGTACAGAAAAGAAGTAATCAAAGCAATACACTGGTATGCTGTAAAGCTGTATGCACCCATGGTGAGGAAAATGAAATGACTGCAAGGAAGTGCTGAACTAAACAGTAAACGATGTTTGGAATTTGGATTGTCAAGGGACCAATTAGTGGTTCAAAGAATGAAAAATGAAAATAGAGATGTCAGTTTATTCATTTATGTTTTAAGCACTTAAAAACATCTGAACACTGAAAAAAGTTATAGAATAAGATTAGATCTTTTACCCGTGTACCATCAAGAAAAACACTCTAGAGAAGTTTATGACCATCAGGAAAAGCAGTCTAGTCTGAAAAAAAAAAAAAGAGCTTAAACTCATGATTATACCCCAAGATAGTATCGACCTATAATTAGTACATTGTTGAAGTTGCTCTAAGAGTTGGGAGGAGAGATTTTATGAGTATTCATAGATACGTGGGCCTTCCAGGATATCTCGAGGCCCATAGGTAAGGGTATGGGAAGGGTCTGAGTGAGGGAAATTAAAATATCTCAAGATACTTATTTTTCCCCAACAGGCGCTGTCTTCGATGAAAACACTAGGAAAATATTGGTAGTACAAGACCGAAATAAAGTAAGTTGCTTGTGCATTGAAAATTGCTTTCTAACTGTTCAGTTCTCTTAGGAGAAGAACTGAAATGTGGAAATGTTGATAGGCCTAGGGAATTGCAGAATGAAATTTTCAAAGATATTTCCAAGCAGTTATGTATCATTTGGATATTTGTTTAAGCCAAGAAAATATTTAATGCAGCTTTTGGAAATGTCAAGGTAATACTCCGTGTTGTTCACTCTTCATTAGTTTGTGACAGGAAGAATAGCATAAATTACTATTTTGAATGGGAAGACCAATTCTAACAGCTTATTAAACGAGTCTTTCATCTATTTAACACTTATTGACTTCCTACTCTGTACCAGGTGCTGCAAGTCCACAAGGAATAATAAACTGCCTGATCTCCTGCAGCCCTTTATCTGTGTTAGTCTGGGTACTTTGGAGAAACAAATCCACAGCAACTTATGTATAAGACAGTTTTATGTAAAGAAAGTGTGCATTACGAAAACATCCCAACCCAATGCTGCCCAAGCCCACAAGTCCAACATTAACCCATTAACCCAACACCAGTCCACAAAGTCCTCCACCTCACACAACAGAGGCAATGATGCCGACTGCAGGAGGAAAGCTGAGTCAGTGAACGAATAAGCATCTCAGTACTAGCAGGGGTCTCCACACGGCTGCTCCAGCACCCAGGGCTGCATCGGGATAGGTCCATGTAGCTTCTCCTTGGGGATGTCTTGTAGGAAGTCATTCTTGCAAGCTGAAGCAGGGAACTGCTAAGGCAGCTGCACCCTGGTGCGACCATCACAAAGCAAGAGATCTGAGAACTAGAAAGTCCAGGCTCACCACCCATTTATCCCTCCGCCTTTCAATTAACCCCACATGTGATTATCGGCCAGGTTGGCACAATTAACTAACCCAGAAACTAACTAAGAAAATAGATATTTGAATAGATGGCAATGGGTAACTTTGACTTAAGGAGGCATTAAGTCAGAGAAGGTGACATTTAAACTGAGTATTAAGAATGAGAGCAGGAGTTTTTGAGGCCCTGGGGGAGGGGGGTGGGGAGAGATGGAAAATAGACTGAGAAAATTAGAAGTACATATATAAAGGCACAGTATATGGATAAAATAGCAAAAAACCCACTATGACCATAAGTTCAGGGAGTGGTAAAATACTTGGCCTGAAAGCTAGGTTGGGAACAGATTGTAAGGAGCCTTGTGGATCAAAATAAGGAGTTAGGCAATTAGGGACAACAAAGATTTTTCAAAGCAGCACTGCGATTCTCCTATGAATGAATCCCAGTGAGTTTATCCTCCAGTGGCCATGGGATGATTCAGGCTCAGGCGGTCCTTCATTCCTTTGTGCGTGGGGTGAGCCAATTTGATGGCAGCTAACAGCAACAACTTCAGATTAGAGCACCAATGTTTCCATGCTCAGAAATAGAAGTAAAAGTGAAGGATAATGATTATTTTTCTACTTCTTGAGACGTTAGGAAATATTAGTTGACAGAGTCAAATATTTTTCCTCCTCATATTTTTAAAAAAATCTAAATTACTATACATGTAATATAAGCTGAAAGCTATATTGCACACTTCTCAGAAATGTTGCCATCTCAAATGTAACTTTTGAGGTTTTGGTTCAGGCAAATCTCTGACTCAAACGGAGGTCTAGCATCAACAATTATGTCTTGGGTACAGAAAACAGAATTGTGCCTCGTCTTCAGTAAGTTTTACATTTGAATTTAATTTGCATATTTGGACATTGTGAACATATATTAGTGGCACTGCGATTCTCACCCACTCACTGCCATCGAGTCAATTCCAACTCATAGTGACCCTACAGGAACAGGGTAGAATACCCCTGGGGGGTTCCAAGATTGAAGCGCTTTATGGGAATCGAAAACCTCATCTTCGGAGATAAGTAAAAGACTCTTATAATGCATTAGAGAAAACAAAACTATGACATTCGGAAGGATAATAACATGAGGGAAAATGACTATATGTAACACTATATGTGCTCAGTTGTGTGCTCATTGGTGCCTTTTACCATTAAGTGCTAAGTTGCACCTCAGAGATGATCAGTATTCATGAGGATGTCCACGAGAATCTTTTCAGGAACATCTTTAAGGAAGAAAATCTTGAGCAGAGTCTTGTAGGAAAGGAAATTTAGAGGACAGAATATGACAGAAGAGGCTACCAGTAGGACAGTATAAGTATAAGGCAAGAAGAAGCCATGTAATTTCGGTGAGACTCATAGGATAGGAACGACTGGCTCACAATGACTGAGTGATAAGAGTGGGCAGAAGTGATAAGAGCTGGACAGAATTTAGACATGACATGGATGATCAAGTGATGAAGATAAGGTCCATACAAGATTATTGTAATAATGTTAGAGAAATCAATGAGATACCAGCAGGCCCTGTAAGACAGAAGGAAATACAGCCTCAGAGACCCTAGGTAGCAGTTCTCAAACAGACAAAAAGCCTCACTGACAATGGGGTCGATTCCAACTCATAAAGCCCCATTAGGACAGAGTAGAACTGCCTCTGTGAGTTTCGGAAACTTGATCTTTACCGGAATAAAATGTCTCATCTTTCTTGCAATCGGCCATGGAGGGCTGCCATGAGTGGGGATCGACTCCCTGGCAGTGGGCTGGATTTTGGTGAACTTCATCCACAGCAATGGATCTAAGAAAGATAGTTAATTGAATCTAGACTTGTGCTACCTATACCTGACACTGTTAGGTGCTCACAGTTGCTTAGCAAGGCTTTCCTGGTTCCCATATAACTGCAGTTCCAGTTATTATATTCCTTAGACTCATGTCCCCTGAAATTTTGCAACATGGAAGCACAAATACCACCCCAGGAGAACATAGAGAACATTATATGAAAAGGAGAACAGGACACCACGCTCTAAACACAGATGAAAAGCACACTAAAGTCAACCTTAGGCATCATCTGCTTTTAAAAAAGAGCTGACACTGAGTGATGAGCTACTTGAAAAATAGGAAGCGTAGCAATACACATCAGTTCTCTAGTTCTATAGGCCAGAGAGATTGTTGGCGTTCAGACATAAACATATAATGATATAAACCATAGTAAGTCTTCCTCACATGTCTGAACCTGAGTCAGTTCACTGTTATTTGAAATAAATTCTTTAGGAATGAGAACTCCTCCAACATCACATTAGGAAAATATGTTAAACACTCAGGGAACTTTTTAAAAAAAGTTTGTCTTAAATTTCATTGTGATGCAATACACATAACAACATATTTTCCATTTTTACCACTCTTACTACTTTGACTGTTTTAATGATGTGACATTAACTATATTCATCATGTTTTGCAACCATCAATCCATTCATTTCCAAATGTTTTCCATCATACAAAACAGAATTCAATAATAACTATACCATAAGTAATCATTCAGTTCTCTTCCTTTCAGCCTTTGATAACCACCAATAAACTGATCTCTATTTATTAATTTGAAATATTCCTTGTAGGTAGAAAAATACAAACTTTGACCTTTTATAGCATACCTGATTTACTTCATGAAAAGTAATATTTTCAAAGTTCAATGATTTATAGTACATATCAGAACTTGGCCTCTATTAGGACTGACTTAGAGTACACTGTATGCACGCACCATATTTTGTTTATCCATTTGTCTGCTGAGGGGCCCCTGGCTTATTTGTTTTAACTTTTTAAAAATCATTTTATTGGGGGCTCATACAACACTTATCACAATCCATACATCCATCCATTGTGTCAAACATATCTGTACCTCTGTTTCCATCATCATTCTCAAAACATTTGACCTCTGCTCGAGCCCCTGGTATCAGCAACTCATGTTTCCCCCTCCCTCCCAGCTCCTCCTTGCCTCTTGAACATTTGATCATTTATAAATTATTATTATTTGTCATACCTTACACTACCCAAGGTCTCCCTTTACCCACTTCTCTGTTGTCCGTCCCCCAGAGAGGAGGCCATATGTAGATCCTTGTAATCGGTTCTCCCCTTCTACTCCACATTCGATCCAACCTCCACTTATTGCCACTCTCGCCACTGGTCCTGAAGGGATCATCTGTCCTGGATTTCCTGTGTTTCCAGCTCCTATCTGTACCAGTGAACATCCTCTGGTTCAGGCAGATTTGTAAGGTAGAATTGGGATCATGATAGTGGGGTGGGGGTGGGGCGGGTAGGAAGCATTTAAGAACTAGAGAAAAGTTGCATGTTTCATCTTTGCTACACTGCACCCTGACTGGCTCATCTCCTCCCCACGATCCTTCAGCCGGGGGATGTCCATTTGCCCACAGATGAGCTTTGGGTCCCCAATCTGCAATCCCCCTCGTTCACAGTGATAGGATTTTTTTTTTCCTTGATGCCTGATACCTGAACCCTTTGACACCTCATGATCACACAGTCTGGTGTGTTTCTTCCATGTGGGCTTTGTTACTTCTCAGCTAGATGGCCGCTTGTTTGCCTTCAAGCCTTGCCAGACACCATCAGCTTTCTTCACCCCATTTGCTTATGCACCCATTTGTCTTCAGCGTTTGTATCGGGAAGGTGAGCAAACAATGATGTGATTTTTCCTTTTTTGATGCCTGAAACCTGATCATCGGGGCATTTTTTATGATGCACTTCAAGAATTGTGTGTGTGTGTGTGTGTGTGTGTGTCTTTTTAGTGAATTTTTGTGTTTGAGCATGTATGTGTGTATATTTTAATAGGAAACTTTGTTTTAGAACAGCAGTTCTCAACCTGTGGGTGGCAACCCCTTTGGGGTCAAAGGACCCTTTCACAGGGGTCGCCTGATTCATAACAGTAGCAAAATGACAGTGATGAATTAGCAACAAAAATAATTTTATGGTTGGGGTGTCACCACAACATGCAGAACTATATGAAAGGGTCGCAGCATTAGGAAGGTTGGGAACCACTGGCTTGGAGCATGGGAGACAGAGACAGTTTATGTACGATGCCATTAGCCTAAAGGTTGCATGTCCACCCAGAGACACATCAGAAA